TGTCCTCTCCATCTGCATCTGGGTTCTAGTTCGACTCAGTCTTTATGTATGGGTGTTTGCTCCTGTTTTCAACAGGCATTAGTTGAGGGCTCCATGGAGAAGTTAGTTGTTGATCTCACTCTCCGGGAAGGGCATTTATGATAGCCTTTCCACGGAAGCTGAGATTGTTAGTTGGGAGCAGTCTTGTAGTTCTCTAGACCTTTCTTTGTGTTCAATTTTATCTTCAAACCAATATTGGCTCCCTCTTTTATGTTCTCTCTCTCTGTCTCTCTCTCTTTCCTATCTTCTATTCCTAACCAGGCTCAATCTTCCTGGTCGCACATGTTTTCCTTTCCTCCCCCTCATTTTCTCCTACTTCTCTCTCCATTCGCTGTGTGACTTTTGACAAAGTTCCCTACAAATGCTCTCCCCCTGCTGCCCATATGGTAATTAGGTATTGGACTCCAGCTGTATGATAGGTGGAATGCAAATAAGTTGATGTCCAGCCAGATCCCATCCTATATATTACCCCATCCTGTATATTACCCCTACTCTGAAATAAAGTTGAGCTGTAACACTGAAGCAGACTCCTGAAAGGCTATTTCTGTCATACTCACAGGCCATTCAAAGCCCTGCACACCTTTGTCCTTGTGGACTGGTGGTGGCCAGTGGACCACAAGGAAAAAGGAGACCCCAGTCTGCAAACCTACCCTCCCTCCTTTCATTCTTAGGGCAAGAGTTCTCTAGGTATATGAATAAATACATTCTGGACCTACTCCTCCTTTCCTGTCCTCAACTCAAAGAACTCACCTGAGATCACCTCCTCCTGGTCACCTTCTCCTGTCTGGTCCCTTTAACCTTTTGTTTCCTGGAGTCACATAAACCTTTCTCCACAATGGGGACCAACCATTCCAAACCTCCCATACAATGCATGTTAAAGAATTTTCCCCACAGTTTGGGGGGCAATTATTGTGTTACCCTTACTAGGGGCTAAAGCTGCATGGTTTTTGTGAGGTCAGTTGGCCCTTATATAAAGTGGGCTGGCCAGCAGCTCCCTGGACCCACCACTGCCTAAGCCATCTGGCTCAAGGTCACAGGTACCCCAGAACTTCAATCAGTTCTCTTTTATGATCATTGGTTAACTATTGGGCAAAATTCCTGTGCCTGGCTCAAAATCTATACCCTCCAAAACCATCCTACTCTCCTAGTCCAGTTTACCCACTTTGGAAACTCCTGTTAGTTCACCCTAACCATTTCACCTATGTTTGAAAATGAAGACTCCCTCCGCTGCCTCAGAATTCTCACCCCACTCCCAGGCTCTTGTACTCCTTCCTAACTAACTCCACCTCCCTCCTCCTCTCCTTGTCCTCCTTCCCCAACACTGAACTTGAAAATTCATAGACTTAGCCAGGCATAGTGACACACAAAATTAATCCCAGCACACAGGAGTCAGAGGCAAGAGTATCTCCAAGTTTGAGACCAACCTGGTCCACACAAAGTTTCAGACTGGCCAAGACTACTGGGACTCTGTCTAAAAACAAGGTTCCCTGGGACAGTCTCACTAGAATGTAAGACAAGTGGAGCAAGGGTGGAAAGCTGCAGTATGTGTAGAATTAGACATAACTAGAGCTGAAGATGTGTTCTGCAATGTAGAATCTAACCATGCTAGTCAGTAGTCCACATGTAACAATCTTAGAACATCCAAGTCTTAAAAAAAAACAAAAACAAAAAACAAAAAACAAAACCAACCTTGTATTTAAGGGTTTGTATTTTCAGCATACGGCTGAAAATTTAAAGTCTGTAAAGTTCCAGGAGAGGTATAAGCCACTAGAGGATGGCTTCATACATGATCAGCAGATTTAAACAATACAAATGGTACAACAATTTACTTCACTCATTACACTGTAACTTTAAGTGTCAGAATTACCATATCCATACTGAAGAGGTTCAGATATGCCACTGATCCCCCACTTAAGAGCTGACCCTCCCTGAAACCAACCAGGGAAGACTGACTTTTATCTGCAAGCAGTTAAGTGGGCACCATGCCTAAACCCTACAAAAAGCCTATGCTTCTCGCCTAAGATACCACTCTTTTTAAGAAGGTACATAAGCATCAAATTCTACACATTCCTTTTGAGTTGTGTTTTTGAGGAATCTTCATAGGTGCATGGTTACATGGCCTTGCTATCATCACTCAGTATACAGAGAATCAGGGGTGGAGATTTATGTTTGTAAACCCAACATTCAAAAGACTGAGATAGGGTTATGTCTGTAGCTGTAAACAGCCCTGGTCTCAAATAGAGGAAAAGTCTTTCTTCTCCAACTATATCAAAATAAGAAAACATTAATGAGAAAAGCAAATTTTTAAATGGGGCTGAGAATATAGTTCAAGCATGAAGCCTTTAGTTCAGTTTCTAGCATTTTATAAAGCAGGAGGTAGAGGGACTCAACGATTGTAATCAGTTTAGATAGTGCTTGCTTAGCACACAAAGCCCTGTGTGCTAAGTCCAAGCACTTTCCACATAAACCAGGCATGTGCATGCCTACACCAACATGGGGAGGGGGAGACAGAAGGACCAGAAGTTAAAGACCACCTTGGTTACATAAGTTCAAAGCAAGCCTGGGCTCTACAAGACCCTATTTTAATTTTTTGTTTATTTTTCCAGACAGGGTCTCTCTGTGTAACAGCCCTGGCCATCCTGGAACTTTTCTTTGTAGACCAGGCTGGCCTGGAACTTGCCTGCCTCTACCTCCTGAGTGCTGGGATCTAATTTTTTTTTTTTTTAAAGGTATTTTAAGGTCATCCTCAGCTATATAGTGAATTGGAGACCAGCCCTGGCTATATGAGACCATCTTAAACAAAACAAGACATGTTTAGTGTTTCTTCAATGCTGAGTAGTTTTGTTTTTATGTTATGTCCCAAAACATGATTTTTATTTATTTATTTATTTATTTTTTAAGATAGAGCTTCATTCTAACTAGCCTGGAGCTAGACCAGCTGCCTTCGAACTTGTGGTAATACTCCTGCCTCTGCATCTTAAGTACTGGGATTACAAGTAATGTACCAGTACTCCCAGTGAGATTCTGATTTTACTGTCTAGGTGAAACCTAGACAGAACCATTTTTTTAAAGCTCTTGAAGTGATCCTGACATTGGACTAAGATTGAGAACCACTGTGACATTATGTGTATTAGTGGACAAACTTAGCTTGTAGTTTTCTTTTTTTTTTAATTTACCAACGTTTGACTGAAATCCCAAATACTGAGTTCAGAAAAATTTTTAAATTGGTTATGCACCAGAAAGTCTCAGGTGGAGTGAATAAGCATTTTATATGACTTTTAAGCAAACTAATTCAAACATATAACTAGTTAAAATTGACTCTGGTAGAGCTGGAGAAATGGTTCAGTGGTTAATAGCACTGGCTACTCTTCAATGGACCTGAGTTCAATTCCCAGTATGCACATGACTGCTCACAACAATCTGTAATTACAGCTCCTGGGGGTCTGACGCCCTCATCTGCTCTCCTTGGGCACTTCCCACATGTCTGGACAGACATACATGCAGGCAAAATAGCAATACACACTTTCAAAGAACAAAAAAACCTGAAGCTATGTACTGTTTATAAAAACTCACTGTCATGACTTGTGTCTTCCTAAACTATCAGACAAATCCTGTGTTTGAAAATGAGGTTTTTATTCAGACTACAAGCTTAGTTTCTGTCTCAAATTATTTATTATATATCATAGTTGCACAACTTGAGGCTGGTTAAATACAATTGGTTTTCAAAATCTGAATATTTCATAGATTACTACATGCAAGTGACCATGAAAATATTTGGCATTTTGAAAATTTGAAATTCTAACAGGCACTTACATGAAGGGGAAACATGGCCATCCTTAGAAATCCACATTTACAACAGCTGCTCCAGGATGTGGTATGTGGAACCTTTAGCCAGGTTTGGTTGCTGGCCATTTTATTAAAATGCCATCATAGTGACATAGGTTTAAAGAAATGGACTCAGGCTGTTCAGCTCCCTCAGAAAGTAGAGTTACTGACAAAACTTGCTCTGAAGTGTGTCAAGGAGTACTGGTACAAAAAAAAAAAAAAAAAGAACCATGAGTGAACATAGTTCCCACACACAGCAGGCTCTGCCTTGCCCCCATGTTCCACATTAGTGTATGTGCACTCGATGACTACGGCCGCCTTCTTCAGAGACACTGAACAAATGACTTGAATTTAGTGTTTTGTTTTTGTTTTTAAATAGACTAAGTAACATTTAAATGAGTTTGAACTAGCCAATGTTCCAGTTTCCAAGAAATTGTCCAGATCTGGATCCCTGGTCCTCTTGAGCCCTCTCATCTCCAAATGAATATCTGCATACACATGGCAAAGAGTCCTTAAAATATATATGCATGTTCCAAAGAATTTATAGAAAAATGATACAGATTTTATAAGGCATTCTAAAATGCCAAGGTGTCAACTCACACTGCAGAACCTGCACGGTGATACAGACAGTAATAGCAAAAAGGTTAACATGGGGGAAGAGGGCCATAGTGACTGTGCCATGTAATCCCTTGGTTAGATATTTTAATGTACCTCAGAAGACCCCAAAGATTAAAATTCAGGAGGCCATGAAATGGTAGATCCAGAAGCACCTACCATGCAACACCAGGTTGGTTTCTGATACACATGTAAAAACAATTCTCAAAACACCGAGGAGCCGTGCCTTAAAACTTTGTAGGACATAAGGGTTACTCAGGTTTTCTCATTTTACTTGAACAAAAAAATATTTAATTTTTTTGCACATAGAGAATAAGAGGTAATCATTAGCATGAAAAAGAGAGAAAAGGATCTTCAACAGTATGCATAAGGAAATAATTACAAATACCAGCCTGCTCACATGGAAACCCTTAATGTTTATGCTGATGCATCTGAGTGCTTATCAGTGTGCAGTAAAAAAGAAAACAAAAAAGGCAGCTTAAGAATTCTCCAGTGTTTCCAAGAAAGCACTTTTTAAAATGTATGTACACAAAGAACCTTTAATCATACTGTAGGATAAACGCAGCACTTGAGGATAAGGAAGACTAGCAGACAGAGCTGGACTCTCCCCAGGCTCTGACAAGTCTTAAGCTCGCTGAGCTTCACCTCTTGGCTACAGTTCTTGATCTTGCTGCTTTGTCCTGTTCGGCTTACATCTCGGGCTGTTCTGCAGATGCCTGTGATTCCGGAGATTCAAATCGCTGGTGAAAGTTCGTCCTCTGTTTTCTCAGTTTTTCAGGTGCTTTTCTCCACAGGATGATCTCCTAGGGGCAAATACAAGACAGCTGTAGTGGACTTCTCTGTTATGTCTTAGATTTTCACCATGAAAATTCTGGCTGCAACACTGTCAAACAATCTCAATTCCTCCCTACCAAAGCCTGCAGCCATCCTGACTGACCCCTTTCCCTCTCTTCCCGTTCCCCCAACCTGCACTGATGTTCAGCACCACCGCAAGTCTACCCTAGCACAAAGTCCTGGTTATTACTGCTTTAGAGAACTCCAAATATGCTGTGGCTCCATTGTTTCCACCCAAGATCAAACTCTTGTCACGGCCTGAGAACCCTGAACCTTCTTTCTGGGAAACAGCTTTGCTCTAATTCACTCTTCATATCACTGCCACATTATCTTTATTTGTACGTTTCACGAGTGTGTATGCATTATCTTTATTTGTACATTTCATGAGTGTGTGTGTGCTCTTATGTGCTACTGCATACATGGACAGGCTAAAGGATTTTCCGGAATCCATTATCTCCTCTCATCTTATGGGTTCTGGGAGATGACCTCAGGTCTTCTGGCTTGGCAGCAAGCATCTTTACTCTGTGAACTATTCACTGAACCCCACATTGTCTATTTTTTTTTAGAATATTGTGTGAATTGGTGTTTTGCCTGCAACTTTGCCTGTGTGAGGGTGTCAGATCCCCTGGAACTGAAATAACAGTTGTGAGCTGCCATGTGGGTGCTGGGAGTTGAAGCAGGATCCTCTGGAAGAGTAGTCAGTGCACATTATCTATTTTATAAACATTGCTTTGTATGCTCTTTGATAGTTCCTAGTATCTCCATACCTTATGCTAATTTACTACCTCCTTCCCTCCCTAAATGCCTCTCCCAAACTGAGTTATTCTCTGCTGTGATGCATGCTAAATAAACTTACCATACCTCTTCCCAGCACCGACTTCCAATCCCCATGGTGCTGTCTATATAAATGGCATCCTAACCAGTCAATCCTGAAATCTCTCCTCTTCTAAATTCCTGTTTCAAGTCATAATGAGCTGGGCTTTTAGTGTGTTTGTTTAGATTTAATTTTTTGTGTGTGAGTGTTTGCCCTGTATGTGCATTGTACCATGTGCATACTTGGTGCCTAGGAAAGCCATATGAGCCACAATCTGGGTGCTAGGAACCAAATCTGCGTTCTTTAAAAGAGCAACAGGTACTCTTAACTGAGCAAATGGAGTCATTTCTCCGGCCTTTTATTTAGTTCTTATGAGACAAATTCTTGCCATTTAGCCCAAGCTAGTCACAAATTCTGTGATCCTCTTGCCTCAGCCTCCAAGTTCTAGGATTGCAGGCATGGGCCACCATGCCCAGCTAGCACAGAATAATTTCTAACTTGCCTATGGAACTCTTATTATCTCACTTCACATTGTAGAAGACCATTCTAATTACAGCCTTATTCAAGATGCCTCAAAAGCTATTTAACTCTCCAATGATTAAGTTTTATGTTACACTTAAAAAGTATCAGAACTGGGTATTCTAAAAGACATAACAACTAATTATTAAAAATAAAATGATGGCTAGGTGCTGGTGGCATACACCTGTAATTCCAGCACTCAGGAGGCAGAGACAGGTGGATCTCTATGAGTTGGAGACCAGCCTGATCTACAAGAGCTAGTTCCTGGACAGCCTCCAAAGCCATAGAAACCCTGTCTTGAAAAACAACAAGGAAAGGAAAGGGAAGGGAAGGGAAGGGAAGCTCAAAATTGTAGTGGAATATTCACTTTGTCTCCTTCTGTGGCACTGTCCACGCCCATTGGGGGGGTGGAGCCAGGGCGGAAGTGACCTGTGGAACTAGGTCTGAGGAGGAGCTGGGGAATGCTTTCTTGCTGGTGGGACAGGGAGAGGAGAGCATCCGGTGGAACTTGCTGGTGTTTATCTGTCTAGGTTGTAAGTTATTTCTCCCTGAATAAACATCTATTTGGCCTATTTGTTTATCCTGATCCTTATTAAGCCACAATACAAAATCTATCAACTACAGATATTAGAATAATAGACAGCTCATCTCTAGCCATGTGAGATGGCTGGAAAGAGCTCTCTTTGGTTTTTCGAGACAGGATTTCTCTGTGTAGCCCTAGGTGTCCTTGAACTGCTCTGCTGGAAGGATCTCTTTTTACACCTACTTTTATATTAAACACTCAGTATTGCCCCTGATACTCAGAACCCCACTTGCTCAGCACTGTAAGCTTCAGAGAAGGAAATGCTTTCCAGGTGTTGTCAGATCTGCTCCAGAACAGAAGCCCTACCTGCTGCTTGAAATACCTTCTGTCTTCCTCATCAACAAGCACGAGGTTCAAAAAGTACCTTACTGAAAACTTCTTGTTCACATCTCTCATTGTGGGGGTTGGATCATACCCTGCTAAGAACAGTCTTATCGGAATAGACTCTCCTGAAAGAAAAGCAATTTCCATTTAATTCTTAAATAATTAAATATAATCACATAAAACTTAAGACTGAGAAGTCAAATGGACTCCAGTGCTTTGGTTCTACCCAAGATATAGCACCTGAAAAAGCCATGTCTAGTCTGTCACCACTCTGGCATCTGGGAACAAATGAGACTCCTTGTGCGGCAGTCACCACCAGATGCCAGCAGCAGACAGCACAGAATTTCTCAAGACAATGTCAAGTGTGTCTCAATGAGCCCACTCTAATTGAGAACCACTGCCCCCAAACAACCTGGGTCAGGCCAGCAATCCTTGGATTGTGGGATTTATCTATTGTTTCAAGTTTCTCATCTGTGAAATGGGCAGGAATAATGATTTTGTAGGCAAACTGTAAGGGAAGTTAAGATACATGAAGAGATTAGAACAGCCATTAAGTGTAATATAGAAGTATCTGCATTTCTGCTTTGAATTTTACGGTAATTTCATCAATGTATATAATGTCTATAAATACATACTAATTCATCTAAAGCTCAATTGGTTAAGGTGCTTACCGAACGAGCCTAAGGGTTGAGCTCAATTGCCAGCACCCATGTAAAAAGCCAGGCCTGCTGAAATGTACTTTTAATCCCAACATTGGGAAATCAGAGGCAGGTAGATCCCAGAGCCCTGTAACTTGCAGCAAGCCCCAGATCCCTGAGAGAACCTGTCTCAAAAACAAAGATGGGCAGTACTCTTTAGGGATGACATCCATGGCTGACTCTGGCTTCCACATACACACTCATACACATGTACGTACACATAATGAGCATACACAAAAAGAATGACATGCCTTCATTGAAAAATATTATAGACTGGAGAGAGCTCAGTGGTAGAACATTTGCCTAGCATTTCATAACCTTAGGTTCAATATGCAATACCAGGAAGAAAAATGTTATTAAGATTTTCATATTTTCTATTTTCTCCGTTCTCCCTTTGTCCTTCTTTTTCTCTCTCTTGGCCCCTTTTTGAGATAGAGACTAAATAGCGAAGACTAGCCTTGAACTCTCAGTCTTCCCGCACCTGCCTTCCAAATGTGTGGGTTAACATTCATGGAAACACCATGCCCAGCCATACATACCTAGTATTATTTAAGTATTTTAATTAGCATACATATTATGAATTATGGGTTCCATTTTGACACTTTCATGTATATAATGTGTTTTTATCATTATCATGTTTACTCTTCAGTACCTCTCTTGTAGCGCCCCAACCCCTGACCTGATATACTTCCTCTTCCCAGTCAGTCACCACTCTATTTTCATCGTGTGTGTGTGTGTGTGTGTGTGTGTGTGTGTGTGTGTGCGCGCGCGTGCGCACGCGTGTAAGAGAGAGAGAAAGAATACATCAATGAAATTCAATTAGGGTTACTTACAGCATTATTTACACAAGGGTAGACATCTTACTAGTGACTACACCAGTGAAGAAAATTTCTCCCCCTCCTCCAGCAGCCATTACCTGCCTACAGGTCCTGATTAAAGAGCATGGCCTCATGAGCCCCTCCCCAATAGCACCTTTGCCCAATGAGCCACCTTGTCTGGTCCCCATTATTTAACTTTTGTGTTGTAGTGTTTTTGCAGGCAGTCTCACACTGTTGCCTAAGCTGGCTTTGAATTCACAGGTTGCATCCTGCTCTAGCAACCCGAGGGCTAGGATTTCATTTACACAAAATCTATATTCTACTTAAAAATTTGAGGTTCTGGAATTTTACAAACTATTTTGCATTGAGCAAAATGGGCCTGGGAGTCTGAAAGACCTGGGTCAAATACCTACTACTACAGCTGTAGTAAATGTTTTACATTCTTTACACTTTATTTTCATCTGAAAAATAAGATATAAATAGTTCAAAGAATAGTAAGGAACTTAATGACACCTAAAACTACAGTGTCTTATTCACAATTGGCCCTCAACAAACATTAGCTCCTTTTTGAGTAATTCCTACAGAGAAACCCTATCTTGAAAAACCACCAAAACACAAAAACAAAAAGAAGGAAGGAAGGGAAAGACTTTCTGTCTTTCTGGCAGGCCAATCTTAAAATCAATTTTTGTAATTAAGATGCTCTCTTCCCAGATATATGTGGGTTTGTATCAAGCCAACAAAAAACCAACCAGAATCCTGGTTTCATTGACCTACATACTAAAGATTATCAGGTAATGTAAACAGGCCATGGTGGTGCATGCCTATAACCCTGGCACTCTGGAGGTGGAAGCAGAGTGATCATAACTTCAAAATCATCCTTGGCTTCACAGTAATTTTGACCAGCTTGACCTTGTCTAATACAAAAACAAACGACAGTAAAATTCAATTACATCCTGGGCAACTTATTAACAAAATGGCCAGTCAGGGAGATGGCTTCACAGGGAAAAGCACTCGCTGTGTAGCCTGACAATGTGAACTCCATTCTGGAACCCACGGTGAAAGGAGAAAAATCAACCAAATCCTGAAAGTTGTCCTCTGACCTCCACATGTAGCCAGGGCACAATTGTCTGCACTGAAACACATATAATAATAATAAAATAAAAAATTTTAAGTTAAAAGATGGCTGGATATATAGAGGTAGATAGTTATAGATGTAGATATAGATAGATATAGGATATAGAAATGATATAGATATAGATACAGATATATAGCCCAGTAGTACAGTGCTTGTTTAGCATGCATGAGGGTCTTGGGTTTAACTTCTAACACTGAAAGAAAAAATCATTCTAAGTTTTTTGTTTTTTAACTTTTTCATGCCTTTTTTCCCCCCCCTTCCCTTTGAGACAGAATTCCTATGTAGTCCTGACTATCTTGGAACTCTAGATAGACCAGACTGGCCTCAAACTCACAAGGATCCATCTGCTGCTGTCTCCTGAGTTCTGTGAATAAAGGTGTATGCTACTATGCTCAGCCATTATACATTTTAAGAGTTCATACTTTCACACTGAATAAAGAGTAAAGTTCAACTCTCATGAACACTGCCATCTACACATACAAAAGAAATAACTGAAAGGTTTCAAGAAGTCTGAGTAAAGGCACTTGCTACCAAGACATAGTGGAAGCAGAGAACCAAGTCCTACACGTTGTCCTATGACATCAACATGCATACAACTGCAAACACACAATCTTCCCACACACACAAATAAATAATGTAGGGAAAGATTTTTAGGGGCTGGAGAGATGGATCAGCAGTTTAAGAGCACTGACTGCTCTTCCAAAGGACCAGGTTTGATTCCCAGCACCCACACAGCAGCTCACAACTGTCTGTAACTCCAGCTCCAGGGGTTCTGATGCCCTCTTCTGGCCTCCACAAATACCAGGTGTGCATTCATACATGCAGGAAAAACATACATACTCATAAAAAATAAAATTATTTTAAAAATTATTTTGAAGTAAATGATTCCAGGTGCAATGGTACACACCTATAACCCCAGCACTTGGAACACAAAAGCAAAAGGATCATCAACAGTCTGTTAAGGCCATCCTGGCCTACAGAGAAAGTTGGATCAGCCAAGGATGTACAGTAAGGCTTCTACCAAATAGAAAAGAATAGAAGAATGAAACTGATTTACCTTTTACTGGTGCACCATCCATTATTTCATATTTAGCAATTGTTTCTGTTTCTGTTGTGGTGCTGGGTCCTAATACAACAGAAGAAATGACATTGATTTGAATATTCCCAAAAGCAGAATCTCTGTCCTGTGTCCTGCAGCTAATTGCTGCAGTGTTACCTTATGCTCTGCTGGTCATTCTTTTCCAAGTTTTTTTTTTTTTTTTAAGTTTTTTCTACTCTTAAACTGCATGCTTCAGTCTCCCCAAGGGTACATACATGCAGTTCAGCTCAGTCTGCCTCACATTGTGCCTGCCATCCTTTCTACTATATGCTAAAAGACAAGGTAGTAACACACATAACTTACCATTATATCCAGGTTCTCTCTGAAATTTTCAAACTATCTTTCCAAAGAGTTAATTTTACAGAGAAAACATCAAGTGAACACTTAAATGGCATGCATACAAACTTTGGGATTAACTCATATATCTAAAAAAATGAAGTCAATGTTTTTTGGTTTTTCGAGACAGGTTTTCTCTGTATTGTTTTGGAGACTGTCCTGGAACTAGGTCTGTAGACCAGGCTGGACTCAAAGTCACAAAGATCCACCTGCCTCTGCCTCCCAGGTGCTGGGATTAAAGGCGTTTGCCACTTACACCAGGCAGGAAGGCAATTGTTAAGTGTTAAAAAAAAAAAAAAAAAAGACTAACTTAAGAGTTCAGCAGTAGAGCATTTGCTGTGCATGGTTTTTGTTTGTTTTCTAAGACACAGTCTGGCTACATAACTCAGCCTACTTTCTTTTTCAGCTTCCCTGTACTCTTACACTTGGAAACTGAGTCAAGAAAAGTTATAGGCCAGCAACATCTTGTCTTTGAAAGAAAAAAACAAAAATCAAAAAAACATGTTTATAAGTACCCATTACAAAATTACTTTAATAATCAAGCTGGTCTCAATACCTGGGGTTCAAGTGAGGTCTGGCCTCAAGTCTACAGGGGCTTGTCACTATATTCGGCTCAAGAACTGTTTTTTTTAAAAACACCGAATTACAGCAAAATACTAAACAGCAAAATTAATATCCAATGTGAATTCCAAATTTGTGTTAACATTCAAAGAGTTCTAAATTTTCAATACAGAATTTCAATTTTTTTTTTTTTTGAGATAGGGTTTTTCTGTATTGTTTTGGAGCCTGTCCTGGAACTATCTCTGTAGACCAGGCTGGTCTCAAACCTGCCTGTCTCTACCTCCCGAGTGCTGGGATCAAAGGTGTGCACCTCCAACGCCTGGCAGGAATTTCAATTTTAATTAAAAAATTTTCTTCAACTTACCAATTCCTGTGATCTCTTTCTTGATCAGTTGTAATTCCATGTGTTGTATTTTTATTCTTACTAATAAGAAGTAAATTTTTCCAACAATCACATCCTTTAAATGATACCTATTTGGAAAGAATATGTGTTACATACTTTAGTTTCAAAAAAAAAAAAAAATACAAGTTTAAAAAGGTAATAGATTGCCTCAAGGAAAATAACTATATCAAAATACCATTGAGACTATTCATATTCTTTAATGTCCTTTCTCAAACAGTATTAATCAGTTTATTGTGCATATATGAAATCAAACGTTTACTTGATGGTCAAATATATCTGAAGGTCTTATTAGCCCAATTAAATGTCTTTCTTTAAAAGTTGGTTTTCATAGCCACGCAGTGGTGGCACACACCTTTAATCCCAGCACTTGGGAGCAGAAGCAAGAAGATCTCTGGGAGTTCGAGGCCAGCCTGGTCTACAGAGTGAGTTCCAGGACAGCCAGAGCTGCTACACAGAGAAACTCTGTCTCAAAATCCCTGCCCCCAAAAACTTAGTTTTCAGAGCACTCAAGCACTTAACTCAACAGAAAGTTAAGATCTAATGCCTGATGTTTACTTAACAATATATTAATATTTGTAACACTAAAGTCCTTACCCAGACTCAGTAGTATTAGTGTGATAAGGACTGAAGAAGCAGCTAATCCATCATCTAGCCAAAGAGATCCACGGTCTACACTCAGGGGTTAAGTTTGCTGCATTGTATTTAATAAACATGCCATGAAATCATGAAGTAATAAAATTGAGAAACCCTACAATACTCCAGAGTGTTTTTGCTCCTCCAAGAACTAGATAGCAACCTAAGAACCTGCGCACTGATTAACACAGAAACCAGAAGGACGGCTTCAGTAATAGCTTTTTAGGTTCTAAGCTGCCTAATAACTTTATGGACAGTACCACTGACATGTATGACAGTGTCAGTGTCAGGTGGATTTCTGAGTTTGAGACCAGCCTGGTCTACATAGTGAGTTCCAGGCCAGCCAGGACTACATACATAATTAGGACCCTTTCTCAAACTACCACCACCACCAATATACAATAAATAAAAGGAGACCATTTTCTAAAAGTACAATATATAAAAGCATGCATACCACCCTTTTTACCTCTGGAAAGACATTAATTGTAGGTTAGTGGGAAAGATGACAAGTGGTTTTCCTGCTTTCATTTTTACATACTTGGAATTTTTCAACAATCTTTACTGCTCTACACTGTCTCTGTCAGGTAGTCTGGTCACAGGGATGCAAAAGTGACCACTCAGGTACTTACTTTGACTTATTATACTCAAACTCTATGTGCAGACAATCTTCAATGCCCACTTCCATTTTAATAGAGTTGTTGACATCAGGATAGGTAGCAAGCTGGTGAACAATAAGATCACACTCTTTCACCAAGTCTGTCAGCCTTCTCACAATTGTCACCTTAAGAAAATATCTACGAAGTTAATGAAAAGATGAAGTCAACCACCCAGGTTACATGTAGGTGCTTGGGTAAGCAACTGTCAACCAATTCAGCTTTCTCCTTGATGGGACTAAGTGTCAACTTACTCCATTTGTTTAGTCAGAAAGGAACTCTAATTTAGGGTGCTTTGATGCTAGGAAGTGAATTCAAGGCCCTTGCAGGCTAAGCATGTAAATCTATCTATGCTACACTTCTAGCTCTCCATTTTTTTTTCAATGCTCCCAACATGAAAAATACAAAATTCAATTTAATAAATAAATACTTTTGAAATGACCTTAGAGGACCATCATCAGCCTGTTTAAAAAGTCTCTCCATGTCACTGTTTTGGTTCTATTTTGTTTTTTCAAAGCCTCTAGTCAAGGCACCAGTATTATCTTTTGTGCTGTCAAACACAATCCCAAATTAATAATACCATATTAAACAGAAAAAGAAGGTCCTTGGACTTGCTTCATTAAGACTCAAGTATTTAATCACTCCGGTCTTGGAGGTAGCCTGGGCCTCCTGCATGGAGGCTTAAAGGAGAGAACACTAGATTGAGAATTTAGAAAATGGTATGTTGGGTCAGTGAGATGGTTCAGCAGGTACAAGCGTTTGTTGGCAAGCCTGACCTATATGGTAGGAAGGGAGAGCCAACTGAAGTTGTCCTCGACTTCTGCATGTGCACACACAGTGGCATGCAGGTGCCCACACACAGAATAAAAAGACAAAACAAAGGCTGAAGAAAACTGGAATCATCCTTTGGGTTTGCCTTTAGCTTGTGTAACCCTGACCACTTAGCCTTTGGATTATCTCTTCTTACATATACACTAGGAAACTAAAGAGCTGAACTAATACTGATAATTCATACAAGGGAATTATAAAACTGAAACATCTCTCTGAATCTCTAATGTTAACAGATATAATTCTTCAAATCATTGTCAGGTGAAACACAAAGTAGGTAATAGAATATAGAATTGTAACTACAAATTTATATAAAGTAGCATGGTTTTCTAGTTTTGATTCTGCTATAATTTCTAATACACATCCATACCTCAGGCGGACATTGGCACCGATGTATGACTCATATGGCTTTTCAACTTGCATAAATTCAAAATCATAACTTCTGCTCTGAGTCAGTTCTCCAGGTAAGGCTAGTTCTTTCACTAGGTTTACAAATTCATGAGTATTACTCTTGTCATTGAACAGTTCTAAGAAATTTAAAACAGCAAAAAGACCAATTATATTTAATATCCAATTCAATAAAACCCAAGCTTCTATTGCTTAAACAAATATTTTTTTTAACAAAAGAAATCAGCTAAATATATTTTTACTTTAATAATCTAGAGCTCTGATCTCAATTTTATACCTTCATTATATCCACTTGAGCACAAATAAACTCCAGTCTGGCACAATGACAATTTCTGAGAGAAAAGCCCTCATTCCTTTCACAGAGCTGTACTTCCTATACAAAAGCTGACACATCCCAGCCTTACTTAAAAACAACTCTGTTTTGTTTTATTGGATATTACTTTGATAAAACTACAGTGCACAAAAGAAAACCAACTACCAATTAATTTCTACAATTTGCTCCTGAATACAATCTTAATCTTATCTATAATAGATACACAAATATCTACCACTCCAGCTTTGGTACTTTAAAAAATTACAATAAAAACTAGCTGGATTTTAAACCTAGCTATGGAGTCTTAGAAAGACATTCTTTCCTGACTCTTCAACACCAAAAGAAGTATATATAGTTTTGCTTTCTGCTAACTCAAAGTGTCTCCAAAGCACCCACATGGAAATGTACACATCCCATTTAAGTGAAGAGGAAATTACTTCTTTCCTCTTTACTTGGAATTTTTTGTTCAGGGGGTAATCTGGCTACAGGTAGACACTAGCTCAGGAGACAAATGACATGGGTAATTAGAAAACAAAAAATAGAGACGAAGGTGGTGATTGTGAGTAAGACTGATGAAAAACGAAGGCAGATGGGAGACAATATGATTATTTTTCAAGGCTGGTAGTTTACATAACTTCTTTAATTTTAATTAAATAGTAGAGTCTAAGGACAAAGGCAGAATGAGTCCCATCATTAAATACAATTGAGAAGCATGATTTACTATCCTGGGTCCTCTTTTATTACATATAATCAGTTTCTTCTTTTCATAAAGCCAAGCTCCAATTCAATTATTTAACTGCTACATCCAACCCTCTTCAGTCATCAAAGGAAAAAAAGAATACTATATTAAAACTCACCAATTTGACCTACAAATTCAATTCTAATTCCTTGATGCTCTAGCCTCTTTCCAGGCTGCTTAAAGGCTAGGTTTACCTGCCAAAACATGAAATTGTCAGTCATGTTAACAGTCCTTTGAGTTCGCCCACCAGATTCCTTCCAGATGAATGTAATATTTAAGTACTTGAGGCATCCATTAAAGAGGTGTGAAAGGCAGGGACCTTTCAGCACCAGGGAGGGCAAATCACAGGCAATCACCAAGGAAGCCATTACTTCCACAAAGAAAGCATCCACTTTATTAAGAAGGAATCCCTCATAGATAGAAATATAAAAAGGCTCAGAGATAAATGAAGTCTCCTCATACCCATATGTCTGGTCAGATAATCAAACAATCCTAGGACTAATATCATTTTAATGTGAAATAATCACTATTTCAAGAACTAACCTAAAAATAATGTTCAGTTATTTATAACTATGAACAATATACTTGTTATAATTTCTAGCCTTAAAAACAACATTCATTAACCCAGACACAGTGCTCCTGTCTGTAATTCAGCAGTCAGAAGGCTGAGACAGGATAACCATGAGTTCAAAGCTAGCCAGAACTACATACTGAGTCTGAGGTCAGTATAAAACCCAGCCTCAAAAAACAACTTATTCTCCTAAGTCTATAACTCATGCTAAAATGTAGAGTGGCTTAAGATACAAATTAATTTTAGGTATGATTAATCTTGCATGAACCCCTTTGTTCATATTTCAGTACTAAAAATTGAACCTAGGGCCTTGTTAATGTTAACCAAGTAGTCTTCCACTGAACTAACTCTCCAGCCTTGTCTTACTTTTGAATTGCACTATCTCAGAATTCTTAGACTGATGTACTTGCCAAGTGAAAATACTCAACTTATAAGTTTTTGTTTATTTTTTAGACAGAGTCTCTAACCCAGGCTATATAGAAAGCTTGAGACCAGCCTGGGTTAGAGGATGACTGTGAATTTATGATTCTCCTGCCTCTATTTATTTACCAAGTACTGGAATTCCAAGATGTGCCATCATGACCCACTTATGTGGTACTATAGACTGAAGCACCCAAGGCTTTGTGTATGTGAGCACTCTACCAACTGAGCTACATGTATTCTCAGCCCTTAAACTTGGAAATTTACTCTGAAGAAAAGAATGTGTATACAACCTATCAACTGTAGAACTTTCAACTTTTTCTGCATCAAGAAAATATGTCAGCCATGCAGTGGAGGCACATGCCTTTAATCCCAGCACTAGGGAGGCAGAGGCAGGCAGATCTCTGTGAGTTTGAGGCCAGCCTGGTGTACAGAGCAAGTTCTAAGAAAGCCAGGGCTACACAAAGAAACCTTGTTTCTGAGAGAGAGAAAGAAAGAGAGAGAGGGAGGGAGGGAGAATAGATTAGATTAGATGCCAAGTTGTTTCTTCCTTCCCACACTGAACTTCTGGTAGCCATTTGAACTAGATGTTTACTTCAGCTAGACGTTGGTGGCACACGCCTTTAATCCCAGCACTCAGGAGGCAGAGGCAGGAGGTTCTCTGTGAGTTCGAGACCAGCCCGGTCTACAAGATCTAGTTCCCTGTCTCAGAAAAAAGGGGAAAAAAAAAAAAATATATATATATATATATATATATATGAAAGACAGTATTTAAATAAGCTTCACATTTTAGGTTCATGCCAAATATTAACACCTATCTTCAATCCCAGAATTTAAGAGGGTGAGATAAAAGAATCAAGAATTCAAGTCTATCCTGAATTACATAAAAAAAAGCTCTAAGCCATTCTAGGCTACAAATACAGACACTGTCTCAAAAGTTTTAAAAAAAAAAAAAAAAAAAAAAAAAAGAATTCTTTTAAAGTATGCTTAGGGGGCTGGAGAGGGTTTCAAGTAACTTACAACTAAAGTTTTTGAGAATAGAGATCAGTAATTTCCCTTAATCAAGCATCAAGTCTTTGTCTAAAGACAAATAGTAAACATGCCCTATAAAAACAGCTAGAAGTAATAAAAATTGGCTTTTATAATAATGTCACTTTGACATTAATGATATTAATTATAACTGTTTTATCTTGAAATCTAACAGGGTCTCAAATTTCTTCTATGACAGAACTAATATTTATAGAACCAATGGTTTGGACAGCAGCACTGATGACTTTGACAGGAATTGTTTTTAAGCTGGGGATAGTAATGCACACCCTTAATACCAACATTATTTGTGAAGAAAAGCAAGCAGATCTATGAGTTCAAGGCCAGCCTGGTCTACATAGCAAGTTCTAGAGCAGGCAGGGCAACATAGAGACTCTGTTAAAAATTAATAATAATAATAGCAATAGTTTTTCCAGGTAAAAAGAATGTCCTTTTAAGGCTGCTATCCTTTCATAAAGAAAGGATAATGAACTTCTTAGTTCAAAGTGAGTTTTTACTTCCTGACCATCTTTTATCAATTTATAATACAAGATATAGAACAGAACATTAAAGAAATTATGCTATAGACAAATAAGAATTTTACCATAAATCCTAAAACACTCACTTTTGACAAGAGAGTTTAAATTTTTAAAGGTATTTTCACAAGATCACCTAGACAATGCAACAGAGAAGCAATTCTCTTTTTATTAATGGTACTGGAGCAAATGGGTATTAACATTCAAAGGAATACTAAAAGACCACCTCACACCAAACAGATTTACTCAAAATGGATAAAGACCTAAGTGAGTACCACACCAAAAATTCTTAGTAAAAGACACAACTGTAATGTTAGGACCTTCACTTAGGCTGTGGTTTCTCAAAAGCACAATAAAATAAAATTAAAAAATAGGTAAACTGGACTACATCAAAATTTAAAATTTTTGTGCTACAGAGACACCATCAAGAACTGGAAGGCAGTGGGGCAGTGGTGGCGCATGCCTTTAACTCCAGCACTTGGGAGACAAGAGGCAGGTTGTCTGTGAGTTCAAGGCCAGCCTGGGGTACAAAGCAAGTTCCAAATCTGTAACAGTGAGTTAAGAGTGAAGTCTTGTTTTATCCTCTCCTCAAAATAAAAGATGCTTCCATGTGTTGTGTGAAGATTTTGGTTTGTGCTGTAATACTTGGGAACAGAGTTGCTAGTGTGGGCCAGCGCTGCTTCTCCGGGAAGGAAGGGGCTGACAGCATTTGCAGAGCAGCTGCCCACTGTTTTCTCCAGCACTGAGGGAGAACTCTCATTTCTCTTTATTCTTGACAACACTTGTGTTTCTTTTCCTTTTCTTTTACTTTTGAGACAGTCTCTTGTAGGCCAGGCTGGCCTCATCCTTTTTTGAGACAGGTCTCATATAGTCAAGGTTGACCTTGAACTATTGGTTTGTAGGTGTGCACGACCATGCCTGGCAGCTTTTTGTTTTCTTTTTGTTTTTGAGACAGGGTTTCTTTGTGGCTTTGGAGCTTGTCCTGGAACTAGGTCTGTAGCTTAGAATGGCCTCAAACTCACAGAGATTCGCCTGCCATCAATGCCAGGCATAAAATGGATTTCTAATACATATTGTTACATAAGGGGATCTTGAAAACTGCTCAATAATGCAGTCATTTCCTTCCCCAGAGTGAATATAGGTTATTAAGGAAAGGAAATATTATGCAATTATTTATACAAAATAGCTACAGCAGGTAAAGCAATAGGAAGCAGGTCACCAGGAAAATAGTAGTAACTAATAAAATAAGAAGTTTCTATTTGGGGGTCATGTAAAAACTTTGAAAATACAGTGTGATTAAGATTAAAAAAATACACCGGGTGGTGGTGGCAATTGCCCTTAATCCCCGAACTCAGGAGGCAGAGGCAGGTGGATCTCTGTGAGTTTGAGGCCAGCCTGGTCTACAGAGTAAGTTTCGGGACAGGCTCCAAAACTACACAGAGTTTGAAAAACCAGAGGGGCGGGGGGAGATGAAAAAACACAAGTAAATAACATTAGGCAATATGGTTAAAATGACAAATTAGGGTTGGAAAGACAATTCATTAAATAAAGGCACTTGCCACCAATATTGCTGACCTGAGTTTGAGCCCTAGAACCTAACAAGATGATAAGAACCAATTTCCACAAGTTGGCCTATGATCTCTCTATTCATATGCTGTGGCACGTACCCTCCCCTACTCCCTTATAAAATAAATGTTAGAAAAATATTTTAACATGAAAAGTGCCTTTAGACCCTTGTTATCTATATTTTCAATACAACATCAATAACAAAAATTGAATAGGCAAAGATTTCCTGTGATAAATCAAAGTAACAAACATATAATAATAATAATAACTATTATTATTATTATAGTAACCATAAAATAAGTTACTAATCTGAAGACTACAGAGGACTTCAGAATAACTAGGAATAATATGTCTGGTAAGCATTGTGCCTTTAATAAAAGAGGACAAGAGATCTTTCTTGAATAGAGCTAAAATACTTTTAAACTTAAAATATAGTTTAAGAGAATGAGGCAGTACATTTGCTACCCGAGCCTTGAAAAGATAATGCTCAGTGAAAAGGCCACAGTGCAACTCCATTTATATGCAATATCCAGAATAGGCAACTCAACAGAGGAACAAAGTTGTTTGTAGAGGAGAGATTTGCAGGTAGTGGTTACTGTTCCTGTCCAGAGATAAATGCTCTGCTGGTGATGGTGAAAGCTGCACAACTCTGAAAATACAGTAAATAGTAAATTGAACTAGATTAGGGCTAATTAGAATATTTAAGAAGAATGAACAGGTACATGCCACAGATAAGCCAAGAGAACAGAACAAAGGAGCCACAATGACCTTTGCTTTGCGACAAAGGTAGCATTATAGCACAATGAGAGGAAGGATGACTTGTTCAATATATGCCCTGGGTTAATTATAGATCCAAGTGTGGGGACATATTTGACTTTTACAATACAAACAAAACCAATTCCAAATGAACTAAGAACCAGGACAGGTCGTGTAATTTTAAAACTCCAGTGAAAGATAACTGTGTCTTGGCTGTTGCTGGAAAATGGCTCTACTAGACCTGAAAAGAACAAAAAGGAAACATTAACATCTGCTAATTAGAAGAAATAAAATTGAGAACTTGGAATGTCAAGACAAGAAAATAGGGGGGGAGCCTGAGCATGGTGTTAAACACCTTTAATCCTGGAGGTATAGACAAAGGCAGAGATAGGCACATCTCTGAGTTGGAGGACAACCTGGTGGACATACTGAGTTCCAGTCCGGTAAAGGCCACATAGTGAGACCCTGTCTTAAAAATACAAATGAGCTGAGCAGTGGTGCATGCCTTTAATCCCAGCACTCAGGAGACAGAGGCACTTGGATATCTAAATTCAAGACCAGCCTGGTCTGGTCTACAGAGTTCAGGGTAGCCAAGGCTAAACATCTTTCTCAACCACCATAAACACACATACACACACACACACACACACACACACACACACACACACACACACACAAAGAAAGAAAAACAACTCTACAACCAAACTAAAAAACAAAAAAAGAAAAGGAAAAGAAAAGAAACACCCGCTTTCCTCTTTTAGATAGGTTCTCATGTAGCCTAGACTGGCTCAAATTCAAATGCTAGAATTATAGTATACCATCATACCCAGCCATAAAAGACTCTCATAAAAAACAGAAAAAGAAGCCAGTGAGATGGCTCAGCAGGTAAAAGATCTTGTCATACAAGCTCCAGAACACATGAAGGAAAGGAAACCATGTAAAAAAGCCAGATGTGGGAGGGAAAAGCCAGATATGGCTCATATCTGTAATCCTAGCCCTAGCACTCTGACAGCTGGATGGAAGGTGGGAATGGGGAAACCAGCCAGGCCTTCATATATGCTGGCATTGGGAAAAATAATAAGAGACCCTGCCTCTGAAACAAGGTGGAAGGGGCAAACAGAGGCCAGAAAAGTTGTCCTCTGACCTTCACATGCTCTCACATTCACACACAAAACAAAAATAAATCTTAAAATACATATAAAGCCCTACATGCCAATATAAGAGTCAATTAAGTAGCAAACTGAGCATAACTTGGAAAGTCAAGACAATCTTCAGTAGGTGAATGGGAAAAATCAGAATGCTGGTATCATATAAAAGATGTGTTTTGAGACAGCCTCACTCTGTAGCTCAGGCTTATCTGGAAATCACTATGTACGTAGCCTTGGGTAGCCTCAAACTTGAAGCAACCCACCACCCTTTTCAGCATTCCTGTTATAGTGTGTGAAATCTTTCCACTTACGATGTTTTATGCACATTTTTCTTTACCATATTCTATGTATGTATACTTTTCTTCTATTCAAGACATTTTGTATATTGATACAATTTGGGATATTTATCATGCTGCCCTTTATAGTTCTACCTCTTGCCTTGACATTTCTACTCTACCTCTATTTTAGGGATTTATATGTATGTATGTATGTGTGTGTGTGTGTATGTATGTATGTATATATATATATTTTAGGGATTTATATGTATGTATGTGTGTGTGTGTATGTATGTGTGTGTGTGTGTGTGTGTGTATATATATATATATTGTTTAAGTATTTGTTCCTGCTTTACTCAGGGAAGTTTTAATCAGTTTTTTAGCTAAGTTCCTGAGTATTACAGATTATCTTCACTCATGTTTCCTGTACCTATGAGATTAGTCAGATACAGATGCTTAATCTTCAATCACTTCATAGACATGCAGAACATGGCATTTAAATGTTTTAATATTAGTACTCCATTGACATGAGACACTGTTGCTCCTGACAGCACCGTGCACTTTCCCGAAAATATGTTGGACACTGTTGTTGCTCCTGCTGGAGTTCATTCTCGCCTCAGCTAATGGCCTGTTGGACAAAGAACTGTCCCCACCTTGACCACTGATTTGGACATGCAGTCCTATGTGCTTGCAGGAGACAAATATAGAAGACTGCAGGACCTTGCCAAGTCAGGGTAAGACAGCCATTCTACCTCCCTGCTTTTGTTGTGGTCTGTCAAGTTTTCTTGCCCTTAGCCAAAACTGGGTGTACCAACGTTGCTGTGAGACCTAGGGTGACTGTCCAGGTGGCTTGCTGTTTCTGTCCTTGCTGCACCTTTTGGAAGTTGTCCATCCGCACTTCCTGTCTACTCTAGTTATTTTCCTTCTCAGGTCTTGATGAGGTTGAAGATTAAACTATCACAACTATTATTCTCTCTTCCTAGTTAGATATATTAGGTACTACATTTACATTTTCCAGCTTAGGACAACTCTATTGTAAACTCCGTTATGCCTTCACACTAGGACTAGATATGTAGGTCATTTTGTTCTCGATTTTCCTTTTCTTAGAGCACACTTGTTATTCACTGTTTTGTATATAGTTTTGTATTAAGCCTAAATCTTTTCTTTAGACTAAAAGGGGAATTGTAGTGAGATAGTCCTTCTGTGGCACTGACCACACCCATTGGGGTGGAGCGATGGGCGGAAGTGACCTGTGGAAGGAAGTCAGAGGGAGAGCAGGGGAAAAGCTCTCTGGCTGGCGTGACTCGGACAGGAGAGGATCGGGTTGAATTTCCTGGTGTTCATCTGTCTAGGTTGTAAGTTATTTCTCCCTGAATAAACATCTATTTGGCCTATTTGTTTATCCTGATCCTTATTTAACCGCAATACATTCCAAACACTTAAAAGTATAGACATGAACCACGGGCAGCACAAGATTATTATTTAATGTTAAAAACAAATGCTAACAAGTCACAAGAAGATACTGAGGAACATCAAATAGACATAGAAACTAATCTAAAAAGGTTTCTTTTTGTATGATTCCAACTACATGGCATTCTGGAAAAGGTAGAATCATAGTGGCTGTAGGCTATGGAAACTGGTGTGGATATAGGTGCCAGGAAGAGTGAAGCAGAGGGGAATTTTAGGGTAATTAAGCCATTCTGCATGATACTCAAATGATAGGTACATAACAATATGTGTTTATTAAAATTCATACAACATGTAACATCAAAGGTGAACCCTAACTAAAACTGTAAACCAATCTAGCAAACTGGCTCATCAATTCTTTTATTTATTTATTTATTTATTTATTTATTTATCTATCTATCTATCTATCTATCTATCTATCTATCCTAAAGACAGGGCCTTAATGTACCCCAGGTTGGCTTGAGCTCTTATGTAACTAAAGATAAACCTGACCTCCTTACCTCAGGCCTCTACTGCCCAAGCCCTTCGATTATAGACAGAAGCATACCATTATGACTGGCTTTGGTTCATTAATTTTTAAAAATCTATCACACTAAACTGGGTATAGTGGTTCATGCATTCAACTCCAGAACTCAGGAGGCTAAGGCAGGAAGACTAAATCACTTTAGTGAAAGGTCAGCCTGGGTTACATGATCCTATGTCAACATATAATAACAGACAAATGTTATATTGTTATGTTATATATGAAGGTATGGCAAAGAAGAGGAAATATGAAGAACTGTAGTTTACCCAATTTTTCTGAAAACCTAAAACTGTTCTAAAACATAAAAGGTTAGGCAGGTATGGTAGTTCATGCCTGTAATCCCAGCATTTCAGAGGTAGAGGCAGGAGAAGGACCACAATTCTAACACAGGGAGTCTAGGCCAGCCTGGGCTACATGAGAGAAGAAGAAAAAAGGAGATGAAGGATCTATTGAGTAAAGAAAAGGCAAGAGAGATGTGAGCATTACAGAAGAATGTATCTAAAATGTATCTAACCATACACATTCAGAAAGAAAGGAGGCCCCTCCCCATGACAAAAAAACAAGTGAAAACCAGACATAACTAAGACTGGGCTACAGAGTCAGAAAGAGCCTTTGTGTGCCACACCAGACAACTACTCCATCTCTCCAACCAAGGTTATTTGAAGGAGAGGTTCTCTAAAACTCAAGATACATTCACCAGCCCCCCACCACCAAAAAAAAAAAATGTTTGTGAAATTCAAAGACTCGGCCCCTAAAATCCTCCCATGGAAAGCATCTTCCATTACTGTTTTAATCCATCAAAGATTTTAGTTCACCTTCAGAAAAGGAACTCTGTTTCTAAATTATCCAAATTTAGATATGGCACAGACTATTTTAACAACTGATTCTAATATCCTAAAATTAGGTAATTTGCCAAACAAAAGCTTACCTTTCCTGAAACAGATTCTCCATCATAGAAGAGATAGTGTTTTTCTACTTTGCCATCTTCAGTTTTCATTTCTGCCATTTTCCTAGTTTCCCCATCATTAAGGGCAACATCGATCTCACAAATAGGACCAAAAAAGCCTCCAAGAAAACTCTGAAACAAAATTAAAATGCTCATTATTATCATGTTTAGCCAGTGACTACATTTTGAAATTCAAACTTAATTAAAATACTTTAATCTATGAGTTAAAAAGTATTAAACTCTACATGAAAACCAAAATGAAGGGCTTGCCTCATACACACATGCATCCAATCCACAGCACTGCCAACAAATCAAAGCAACAGCCTGAACTGAGCACCGTGCACACACACTGTTAACATTGTAGTTGGCACAATTTGGAGAATAGATTTCTTGTTATAATTTTTACCACCAAAATGAAAAAAAGAACTTGAACATGCTGTAGGTTCTGTCATTTCCTCAGGTTACCTACATAATCATCAAATACTAACTTATCAAAAATGTAGGAAGTCAATTTCTTACATCCAAGGCTGCATCTTTTAGTTGACCTTTCAGAGGCTCTCCATCAGAGAAAAAATTGCATAATCTAAATTACCCTCCAAGCTCCAGAGTCATCACAGTGAACTAATTACCATGAATCTCTGCTCTATCAGGTCTGGACAGAATGTTACAACATGTAAGATTTTGGAGTAAACTTGGCAGTAACTAACATTAGAGGCTACAAATATTTCCAAAGAAAATATATAAGCACTGTAACTTCAGATAACTGCTTCCCAATGACAATGCATTCTAGCTAGCAATACAGCAACTTATAACAAGCAGACATTGATGCTAACATCTAGATACAGCCATGGACTGTGTGATCACTGACACCAATGTTCTAATATTTAAAATGTAAGAGTGACAGCCTCACATCACACTAGCCTGTTTCCTCTCTCACATGTGCTTTGATGGGGTTCTTCTGTGTTGCTTGATGGCAGGTAGGCCCACTGGCACACCCCTCACACCAGTACCTTCATCCCCCCTTTCTACTGTTCTGCACACAAAAAACAAAACCAAAAAGAAAAGAAAACAAAAAAACACTGAAGTGGCCTTTTAGAAACATTCATCTGATCATGATGTTAAGTAAAATAATCTCAAAAAGACAAATACTGCAAAATTCTCATATACAGAATCTATAAATTACATGTACACACAGGCATGTCACGAAAGTTGAGAGGAAATATTTGGAGAAGAGAAGGAGACTAGTAAGGAAAGGAGGGGAATGATGACAAAGGAGAGTCAAGGGGGATACAAATATAAGCAAAGTATAATGATACCTAAGTATGGAAATGTCATAATGGGAACTGGGGGGGAAGACCTGAGTTCAGATACCCAGTACCCTTATGAGAAAAAAAAGCTATGAGTGTGCCTGCTTGTATCCATATCCTTAGACTTATGTGTGCATACACACACACACACACTACACACACCCCTCAGAAATAAAATGTCATAATAAAATTCTAATAAAATAAAAACCAATCTGATCATACCACTTCTTTTAAATATTACAACAAACTAGAGAGCTTATAAACCAGAACTACTTCAGAGAGTAGTCTGGGATCAGAGAAAAGGCTCACTGAGTGTATGTGCCTGCAACCAAGTCTTATATCTCAGTCTAATCCCTAAAAGCCATATGACAGGAGAAAAGCAACACCTTTTGAATTCCACACATGCATTGTGGCATGTACATACACAAGCATGCACATACAATAAATGATGGCATATGTTTCTTTCATTTAAAAAATGTATTTTGGAGCCAGGCATTGGTGACACATGCCTTTAATCCCAGCACTAGGGAGGCAGAGGCAGGCGGATCTCTTGTGAGTTCAAGGCCAGTCTGGTCTACAGAGTGAGTTCCAGGAAGCTACACAGAGAAACCCTGTCTCGAAAACAAAACAAAACAAAACAAAACAAAAATGTATTTTGGCAGCTGACCATGGTGGTGAATGCCTACAATCTCAGCACTGAGGAAGCTGAGGCAGGAGGCTTACCACAAGTTCAAGGCAGCCTAGGCTATGTAGTGAGTTCCAGGAAAGCCTAGGCTACAGAATAAAACTTGTCTAAAAACAGAAGCAAACAACAACAAAGAACCTACAAAGCTCAGAGAAACTGAGGTGCTAATATCTGTATTACACATAAGTAATATATATTGGGTTGTTTTGTTGTGTTTTGTTTTTGAGTCAGAGTCTCACCATGTAGCCCAGGATGACCTCAAAAATCAAGGGACCCACCTATCTCTGCCCCTTTAATGCTAGTATTAAAGGGATTTGCCATGTGCCCAACCCAGGTGCTAATAATATTTTATTTGAGCTCTTGATGTTCACCTTGTGGCATTCATCAGTTTGTACAATTCTTTTCTTTTTCATTTATTTTATTGTGTATGAGAGTGTTTAGGCACTGAAGTCTGTGCACCATGTGTAGGCATGCCAGGTGCCTACAAAGCCAACAAGAAGGCATCAGATCCCCTGGGAATACAGTTTACATACACAGTTGTGAGCCATCATGTGGGTGCTGGGAATTGAACCTGGGTTCTCTGGAAGTGTAGCCAGTGCTCTTAACTGCTGAGCCATTGCTCCAGCCCCAATCAATATGTAAAACATGTAAGATAAGGTGACTTGAAATATGTTATTTTGAACACACATACAATATATTCTCTGATGTAGTTTAGGCAGACCTACTGGCTCTCCAGATACAAGAGCCTCAAATGATGGAAGTAATTTCTGCAGAAGAAATTCATCAGATTTACCCCTCTCCCCCTTGTCTTAGAGCCAGGCAAAGTACAATAACCTGACTCACTCACCCTTTGGTGACTGACTCATCTCTGTACGGGCTTTACCTGATACCCTAATGCAAACTGGATTCTACAAGCTTTGGTTTCCTGACTGAGGAGGTAAATGACTCCTGTTCTGAGCTGTGCATTTACTCTGCCAGGCCAGACATTTCTCCTTTGCTTACTACTGAAAATAAAACCTAAAAGCAGTTTATAGTATTTTAAACAAGGTCCTCAAATACCTGTGGAGTGTTATTTTTCAATACACACACCATTCTAAGAATAGGAAATAAGTGAGTATGAACTAGAAAAAGGACTGAAATCTGTAACTGTTGGTGAAACAAGCCCTTCCTTAGAAAGTCAGGATTAGTGAGGTAGCAAAGTCTAAGTCTGGAACTCACTAAGCATCTGCCCTGTCTAAGGACAGATAATGACAGTAAACAATCTAAGGAGCATCCTAAGATTATGTAGGTCACAGATGATACAAAGACCAAATTGTTTTCATCATTCTCATATTAACAAGAGAGCCCCCCTCTCCCCTCTCCTCTTCTGCAACCCCCCCCGGTTTTTCGAGATAGGTTTTCTCTGTGTGGTCCTAACTGATCTGGAATTCATTCTGTAGACCAGACTGGGCTCCAACTCAGAGATCAACTTTTTCTGACTCCTGAGTGCTGGGATTAAAGACTTTCGGCACCACCGCCTTCTTTATATCCTCATTTTTGTTGTTGTTGTTTTTTGTTTGTGTTTGTTCTATGGATGTTTGGCCTGTATTTTTGTCTGTTCACCACTGTGTGTGCCTCATCCCTGTAGAGGTCGAGAGAGGGCATCAAATCCTCTGAACAGGAGTCACAAGTAGCTGTGAGCCACGGTGTGAGCTGTGAGCACTGGGAATCAAATCCAGGTCCTCTGTAAAAGAGCATCCTGTGCCTTAACCGCTGAGCCATCTCTCCAGCCCCAACAAAAGGAACAATTTCAAGTAAATAACTACAAACTAGTATTTCTGACATGCTCCAAAGACCAGTGCACAGTAAACAAACAAATAAAATAATGTTTAAAAATTAACTTTCTGTTTTAAATTTTGAGTTTGTTGTTTCTGATTTTGCTAAAAAAGATAAAACCATCGCAGAAAGAAAATTGCTGTATGTGTCTTTGAAGCATGTCAAAAATACTGATGCCCTCTCTTGACCTCTACAGGGATGAGGGACACATATGACATCATGTATGTGCAGATCAAAACTGACTGGTTACCTGATATTTAGCAAATATCCACTATGTGCAACTCACTGAGGGCAGCAAAGGGTATTGGCAGCTACTGGCAGGAAGAAAACTGACAAGAGTGGGGAAAGATGCAAGGAGTTGCCCATTTTAAACAGAGAAACCAGGTCAGATAGGCTAAACACAGAACTGGGTGGTGAAAACAACACGGCGGGACTGCCCTTCCCATAGTGTCAACATTAGCTCACATACAAAAGGCAGGCAAAGAAAGTAAAATTAATTTCCTCCCTAATTGTATACTCCCCAAAGCTATTTAAAGGAAAATTACGACTAGAAAACTATGAAAGCTGTTTTACATATGAAATATGGCAACTTTTCCCCCACATTTACATTCTATATAACATGCAGAATGGTCTTTCCGATTTGAAATCTGACATTTAAAGATACAAATTAAATACTATTTTAACAAAATTAAATTGCCACTAAAACCACCAAAACACACAAGTAGACACAGTTTTAGACTACTTTGCAATATAAGTCAGGAGAGATGGCTCAGAGGTTAAGAGCAGTGGTTGTTTTCCACAGGACCCAGGTTCAGATTGCCACCATCCACATGGCAGCTCACAACTGTCTATAACTACAATTGCAGCATACCTGAGGTCTTCTTAAAGCCCTCTCAGGCAGCCAACAAGCATGTGGTGACAAGACATACATTCAGGAAAACACAGAAAATAATAAATTAATGTTTAACAAAAACAATTTTCAGAATAAACAAGAGGTCTTATTAAGCCATTATTTTTAAAACTTAGAAATTACCAGAGATAAAAATAAATACAAAACCATATTACACTATTTTTATCAGAAAATATTTTATATCTAGGACTTAAAAGTGAATCTCTGTGAGTTTGAGACCAGCCTGGTCTCAAACAAGAACTAGTTCCAGGACAGGCTCCAAAGTCACAGAGAAACTGTGTCTTGAAAACCAAAAACCAAAAAACAAAAAAAAAAAAAGAGTACAAACCTATAATCTCAGGTGAGCAATTCACTAAGAGGCTAGCCTGATCTACACAAAAGGTAACAAGGCCAGCCAAGGCTACAGAAAAAATTAGATATATTTGTAAACTGTGTTGTGTGTGTGTGGTTAGAGGACAACTCTTGGGGTACCTTTTCTCTTCCACATATACGGAACACAGGTTATCAGGCTTGATGGCAAGAACTTTCCCAACTGAGCATTTTCACTGGCTCTTATTTTTCAATAGACTAGAAAACAATTATAACTGGGAAGATTCAGTCTTTTTGTTGGGTTTTTTGGTTTGGTTTGGTTTTGGTTTTTGGTTTTCAGAACAGAGTTACTCTGTGTAGCCCTAGCTGTTCTGGAATTCTCTCTGTAACCAGGCTGGTCTCCAATTCAGGTCTGCCTGCCTCTGCCTCCTGAAGGCTGAGATCAAATGGGTACATGACTGCCTCCTGGCTCAGAACATCCTTTTAAAAGCTTTGTACAGCATATGCAGAGGAGAAAAGATAAATAGCACATTAACGAGTTAACTGCTATTACTTTAAAATCCTCCAAAAAATTATAGATACCTTCTATTGAACATATTTACACAGGCCAAAAAAAAAAAAAAAATCTGGATAAAGAGCATGTTTTCACCCAGACTTGCTTTGGGATGCTTTACTTCAAGATACACACTGGAGATGTGGAGGACCACATAACTATTATCCAAGTGCAGCCCAAACTAACCAGAAACCTATAGAGCAACTCTTACCTCTATTTCCCACACAAGCATGTACCTCCATGCCTGACTCTCAGTTATTTTTGTCTTATTTTTACTTATTTGTTTGAAAGGGCAGCTCAAGTATGTCACAGCATACATTTGGATGTCAGAGGACACTTTCCAAAGTTGGTTTTCTCCTTCTGCCAAGTGGGTTCTGGGGACTGAACTTAGATCATGGGGCTTATGCTAACTTGCACCAACTTTTAAAATGTTTAAAAATATTTTTTTTGTTTTACATATATGAGTGCTTTGTACATATGGGCATCATGAGCATGCAGTGCCCTAGGAAGCCAGAAGACGGTGCTAGATCCCCTGAAACTGGAATTACATATAACTGTCAACTGCCATGTAGACATTGGGAATCAAGCTTGGACCCTGTGAGAACATAACTGATCCTCACCTGTGAGCATGTCTCCAGGTTCAGTCACCAGAATAATACACATCTGTCCTTTGGAGGATTTTTATTTTCCTTTGATGATTTTAGTTATTGGCATGGTTTGTTTAGTTGTTGTTTGGTTAGTTTTTTGAAGCCCAACAAGCACAAAGGATTTGAACATAGGGGCTGGAGAAAGAGATCAGTTGTGGGTATCTCTCTCTCTCTCCTCACTCTATAATTCTCTGAGACAAGGTTTCTATGTATAACAGCCCTGGCTGTCCAAGAACTAGTTTTGTAGACCAGACTAGCCTCAACTTAAAGGAGATGAGCCTGCCTCTGCTGGAATTAAAGGCCTGTGCCACCACTGCCCTACTACAATAGTGGATCATTTGGCTAACTGGTACACATATAGACACACTCATTTCTGGACAAATACAGACAATTAATATACTAATTCAAACTCTTAGGTCTTATGGGCTGCAGATGGGCTAATCCCCACCATCTCAGAACTTGAAAGCTTGAGTCAACAGAATTACCACACATTCAAGACCCATTTGGGCTACACACACAGGAAATATCAGGCCAACAAGGTCCACATTGCAAGACCTTGATTAAAAACAAAAATTAAGCTAAAAAAGAAAACACAAACACTAAAAAACAGAAGATGGAAAGAAAAGGAGTTGTGTCTTACTTAAAATCCCACTATTGACAAAATTACACGTGGATACCTAAAAATGTAACAAACTTTCTTGTCTCCCACTTAGGAAAATTCGCCTACTATGGGAAATGTAAAGAAAGAGAACTTGAGGGAAAGGAAAAACAATCAAAATATATATGAAAAAAAATTTTCACTAAAGGGGAAAAAAGGGAAAAGGGACTCAGGGAACCCAAGGCTTCAACAATGTATTCACTGAGCCCACACACAATGAAACAGCAAATTCTCATACATACATGTGTGGCCATTTCAAGGTTTTAAAGCATATTTATAATTTCGCTTGTTTGGCCAATACCTTGAAAATAAAAATAAATTGCTCTTGCACACAACTAGAAGGACTACTTACAAATACAACCAAAAAGTTATAATCAAATTAAAGGGCAATGAAAGAAGGGTTCCCTAACATCCAAATAATGCCTTCTTAGTTATTTCCATTTTAAACTAATTGTCCGAACAAACGGTTAACTGCTTAGTCTGTTGCTGCAAGGGAGCAGGCAGATAGCCTAGTGCTGTTTATCTGTCCCTGGGCTCACTCAAAATACGTGTTTAAGAAAACGCTCCCAGATGAACCTCCCTCTTGCCCCTCCCCCTACCTCTAGCGAAAGCAACACGATTTCTGACTTTTGAATTATTTAATCAAAGCGACGTTTTTAAAATAGACCCGGTTCGGTTATCTTGGCCTAAGCTAAAAGCCTCAAACAGTTTATCGGAACCGGTGAGCTTAGGGAGAGCAGGTGGCACCCTCAGGGTGTACCGGCTAAACAGGAGCCAAAGGAGCTCCGATCCAAAGCAGGCTGCGGGCACACAGTTAAACACTATCGTGCGCAGTGGTGCTCCCCATTAAGTGTGGTTAAGTTAAGTGCTCTGATCTTCCTCCCTCCCTAGCTCCCAAGGCATTGCAACATCCCAAAGCGCTAAGTTGTAGAAACCGCTTAGGGAAGGAAGGGGAAGGAAGTGAAACCAAGTGCTTAAATCGCTGTCTGGAGATAAGTGAGAGTCCCCGATCCCACACCCTTTCTCTTTTCCCCAATCCTAGTCTACAAATGCCAAAAGCCTCCACCGGGGTCATGAAATCCCAGACAGAAAGTCCCCACCCACATCCAGCTTAATGAAGAGAAGCGGACTCTATCGAGCTCGGGACGAGGAAGGTGGGAGCAGGTATGGCCAGAGTCCGGAACTGAGGGTCTGGGCACCGGCTGTCCTCGGCTACCTTGGAAGGCGAGGCCGCGGGGCTCCGGCTGGGCGGGCTGCGGGAGCCCAGCCACGGCCCCCAAAGCCGGTCGAGGAAGGCGGGCAGAGGCTCCGACATGACCAGGACAGTGCGACCGGCCGCAGGTGCTCAGGCCTGGCCGGGACAGGGCAGCGTCAGGCCTCACCGCTCTGCGCTCCTTCCTCGCAGGCTCGGAGCCGCGCTCGCCGTTGGAGTCCCGCCACGCGCACCGAGACCCCGCGGGAGACGGCCGCACAGACCGCCGCGCACTCACCATCGTCGCTGCCGCCGGGTCCCCCACTTCACTAGGCTTTTCCTCAGGAGAACTCCCAGCCTGGACGCCTGCGCCCCGCCGCCCGTCACGTGACCGTGGGCCACCAGCCGCACGTGACCACTCCTTTTCCTCTCCGCCCTCCTCCACTCCGGCCCCGCCCCAGGGAGGCCCGGCCCTGCGGGAAGGCCGTTTAGAGGCGGGGTTTCTTTGCTCCGCCCCTCAGTTGGGAGGCGTGGTCGCTGTGGGTGACGTCGGGTGGGAGGGATCGGAGAGCGATCTTCCAGTCCTTCAACTCAGGAGCGGTCACAAGATGAGCCTCGCGCTGCGGAACTCCTCCCCCGGCACACCCATTTCTTCTTCCCTAGGAAGTCGGAGGGGCTCCGAAGGAAGCAAGCGTTTGTGCGGGACGCGTGTCCTTGCTGGCTTGCTGCGTTTCCGACCTTCGCACCTTATCTCACCTGAAGCGGTTTCCCGCTTCACCCGCTCTTTTGTTGGAGTTTCCGCCTCAAAGGAGACCAATAAGAAGGAAAACTAATCTTAAGAGCACACCTATTGCAGGACAGGGAGAGCTGATGACCCATCCCTACAAGCAGGAGAGGCTGGGCTCAGGAGCAAGTTCACAGAGTGTAAAACACGTGATCACAGCACTATCGTGGCGGCCTACAATATCTAAAGATGAATGAATAATTTTACGAAATCTTCGGAGCTGAACCTTTACTCAAATTCCGGGGGGCGGGGGGGGGGGGGGACAGGCATTCTCCCATCATAACAAAACTTAACTTGGGAAGCAGGAGTGTCAGTCAGGTCTGCAAGTCTAAAATGCTTAAAAGTTGATATGAGACTATGGTCTAATCGTGACAGAGTCCAAATACTGGAAATTAGCTGCTTCTCCACAAATTGTTTTGTGTTTTTTTTTTTTCAGACACGGTCTCGGGCTGGAGAGATGGCTCAGCGGTTGAGAGCACTGACTGCTCTTCCACAGGACCCTGCTTCAATTCCCAGCACCCACTACTACCATGGCAGCTCACTACTATCTGCAAATTCCAGTTCCAGGGGATCTGGCACCCTCAAACAGACATACATGCAGGCAAAACAGCAATGCACATGAAATAAAAATAAAATTATATATGGCTGGGCTAAGAATTTTTCCCCCTTTGGTTTTTTGAGACAGGCTTTCTCTGTATAACAGCTCTGGCTGTCCTGGAACTAGCTCTGTAGACCAGGCTGGTCTTGAACTCAGATCCACTTGCCTCTGCCTCCAAGTGCTGGGATTATTTTTTTTTTTTTTTTTTTTTTATGCATACATGTATCTCTGCAAGCCAGAAGAGGGCACCAGATCTCAATAGATGGTTGTGAGCCACCATGTGGTTGCTGGGAATTGAATTTAGCACCTCTGGAAGAGCAGGCAGTGCTCTTACCTCTGAGCCATCTCTCCAGCCTCCAGAAAATACTTTTAAAAGCAATTTCATATTAAAGAATTGAAGGATTATGATACTTATGTTTTTTGTTTGTTTGTTTCTTTTTTTTTTACAGATTTCCTGTTTTGTGTTTTGTTTGTTTGTTTGTTTGTTTGTTTTTAACAGTGTCTCACTTTGTAGCCCTGCCTGGCCTGGAACTCACTAGAGAGACCAGAATAGCCATGAACTCACCTGCCTCCCTTTAGGAAGTCCTGGGAATAAAGACCTGTGCCACCATGCCTGGCTTCTGTAAAACACTGATAACTCCTGGGATAGGTAATGATTTCAAAGGTTGCAATTGTACTGATGAGACTTAAGCCACTAATTGATCATCTGTTCCACAAAACAGTTCTAAAGAGGGGATGACTTTTCCCAGGTGATCATTTGGAAATGTTTGGGGGTATTTTTACTTGCCATCTAGGAGAATAGAACTACTGAGTATCTCATGGAGAGGGCCTGGGGACATAGCCTAACATTCCACAATAAACAGGGCACCCCCTTTCACAAAGAAAGCCTGTCCAGAGGTTTGGGGTGTAGCTAGTGACAGAGCCTTAGGTTCAATCACCAATTCAACCACACACAGAAATAAAGAGAGAGAGAGAGAGAAACAGACAGACAGAGGAAGAAAATAAGGAAAGAAAGATATCTTTCACAAAATGCCACTAATGACAAGAATGAGAAACCCTGGTTCAGTACACATGATAGAAGACAGAACACCATAAGAAATAAATATATGAATATTTTAGACAGTGAGTGATATACTGAGACAATAGCATCAAACAGCTTCTGCACAACCATTCCCCCCTTGTCTCTGCTGTCTTAGCATTCCGTTTATAATTGTTATTGATTTGGGAGAAAACATGTATAATAAAAATGTATCACACTCATCTGTGTTTGCATCACCATATTGGGAATGGTCACAAATATTCCCAATGGTTTGGCCCTTGGCTAAAAAGGTGAACTATTAGGAGGAACCTCCCTAGATACCTGATGCCCTGTATCCTTTCAGCTTTGCAGCTGTCCCATCCCATGATCATCTCCATTACTCTGAGTGTAAGTCCTACTACTTTTGGCTCTCATCTCTTGGCATACATACATTGATTAAAGTGTCATGCTTAAAGTTCAGCGGGACTCTCACAATGGGAACAGTGCATGAGTCTTTTTGCCTGTATGTATGCATGTGCACCATGTGCTCGCCTGGTGTCCATGGAAGCCAGAAAGTGACATCAGATCCCCTGCTGTGAGATGCCATGTGAGTTCTGGGAACTTACCCGGGTCCACTGCAAGAGCAACCAGTGCACTTAACCACTAAGCCATTTCTCCAGACTCACAATAGCTTATGTACCTCAATATACACACATTTTAAAAGAAAATTATTTTAAACATAACTATTTCCTGGACTAGAAAAAGCAGTTCCCCCCACCCCTTTGGTTATATCTTTGCTTTAACGGAGTAACATTTGAAATTCAACAGACATATAGGAAAAGGCCAAGCACTGTGAGGCATTGAGACCACACTATGTGAAACTTGAGGTGTCAAGTCTCTAAACTGTACAACCCACAACATTTTTAGATAAACAACATTTACTGCTTCTCCATCACATCTGATGGCCATGGCACAGCAGACGTCATCACTGTAAATCATGTCACATAGCCACTATAGGAGGTCACTGTTTCATTTTATTTCATTTTTTAATCATAAAAGGAGTATTTCTGTAATTCTCAATCTGAGTTGAGTTCCTGGACACTATTTAGGTATGAAATACTGTTCATCAATTTTCTCTTCAAACTGAATTTTTAAAAACATGACTTTTAAAACTTGTAGTAATGACGGGGGTGTGAGTTAATTTCAATAATGTTGAATTAACACGCATACAAATGCAGATATTCTCTAGAGCGGTAACAGCATTAAAGAGTGATTCCTAAAGAATTCATGAGGAAAGGGTAACAGGATTTAAGAGTCTTTGCAGGCATTTAAAATTTTCTGTAAAACTCTTTATCCCAAGACTCACCATCTAAGCATGGTACACAACTATACCGAATACATTGTTCTTTGTGGAGGTGGGGAAACAGAAACGTCCATTTTCATATAATAAAATCTTCTGATTGCTCTTGGTTTTTCTCGTGGAGCACCCTGTCGAAAGGCTTATAGTTGAAAAAGACATCATCGCTTTCAGCTGCTGGCTGGTATTCCCACTCCATGTCACCTAGGAAGCCACTTCCTGAGCCAGAGCCGGAGCCGGAACCAGAACCCTAGCCAGAGCCCGGGCCTGAGCCAGAGCCGGAACCCGAGCCGGAGCCTGATCCTGAACCCGAGCCGGAGCCGGAGCCGGATCCAGAACCCGAACCGGAGCCAGATCCAGATCCAGATCCAGAACCCGAGCCAGAGCCGGAGCCAGATCCAGAACCCGAGCCAGAGCCGGAGCCAGATCCAGAACCCGAGCCGGAGCCAGAGCCTGATCCGGAACCAGAGCCAGAGCCTGATCCCGAACCGGATCCTGAGCCCGAGGGAGAATCAGAACGAGGACTTAAGCCCATGCCAGAGCCTGAGCAGGAGCCCGAAAGAAAACCCGAGGCAGAGCCAGAGTTGGAGCCTGTTCCAGAATAGTCTTCAGAAACAGAAACGAAATCATTTGGACTCTTCTCACCCTAAAAAACAAAAAAAAAAAGAAAGAAAATAATGTCCAGATCTACTGATAAATAATGTAATTCCAATATTTAAATATAAAGAAATAAGCTATGCCTGAAGTAACACAAGACTGCCACTTTCAGCAGTGAAGGCTGCAGGATCTGAAGCTTAAAGTCATCCTTGGATCCATGGTGAATTGCAGCCAGCATGAGCTATCTGAGCCCTTCCTCAAAAAAATAAAATAAAAATGGGATAAGGGTAGGGAGAATAATGGGGAGTAGAGTGGGAATATGAAAATAAATTTAGGCACCCGGTTGTTCAAAGTCAAGAGATAAAACCAACTTCAATGTTTCAAAACAAAAAGCCAGAATAAAGAGACAACACACTGGTTAAGAGTGATTCCTGCTCTTGCAGAGGACCTGGGTTCAGTTCCCAGCACCACATGGAGGCTCCCAACCACTGTAACTCCAGTTTCAGAATCTGACACCTTCATCCATCTGGCCTCCCCCATCACCAGGCATACATGCAGGCAAACACTCATACATATGAAATGAAAACAGATAAATCTTGGGCTGGAGAGATGGCTCAGTGGTTAAGAGCACTGACTGATCTTCCAGAGGACAGGACCCACATGGCACCTAACAACCATCTGTAACTCCAAGATCTGACATCCTGTATACACACACACACACACACACACACACACACACACACATGCAGGCAAAAACACCAATACACATAAAATAAAAATAAGTAAATTATTAAAAATAGATGTCTTTAACAGAAAAACAATAAACCAACCCTTCTGTCTCCATGTTTGCTTATATTTAATCTATTCATTCACCCCCTCACTGATTCTGTATTTACCCAAAGAAGCAGACATAGGTAAACATCCTTCATTGTTCATATCACCAACTACTAAAATCCTGTGTGTGTGTGTTTTTTGTTTTTTTTTTTTAACGATAAAAACTCTTGATAGTTTCTCCTTAAAGACAGGGTACACCATGAAATCATTCTAGACAGATGTCACTGTTTCCTAATTGAAGTTTCCACAGAACTTCTCATGATCTAACATAGTGCTGAAATGAAGATTTGTGTTCTTTCTTTGTTCTTCTGAGATAGGTAGTATGTCATTTTGAAGGCCAAGCAGGTCTCAGGCTCTTGACTCTCTTGCCTCAGCCTTCTACAGGCTATACTTATTTACAAGTGTGTACCTACGTGCCTAGCTCTTTTTAAATGTTTTGTTTTTGTTTTTTTAAACAGGGTCTCATTTGTATATCCCAGGCTGGCCCAGAACTCAGAGATCCATCTGCCTCTGCCCCCAAGTGCTAGAAGTAAAGGTGTAAGCCACCACACCAAGAAGAGGTTATTAGTCTTGCCAGAACATAAACATTAAATCTTCTCTCATAAATATAAACTCTTGAGCTAAATGGGGAAGATGCCAGGGCTGAGTTCAGTAGGTTGGTCAGACACACAACTCATCCCAAAGGCCACACAAAAGCCAGAGCAGAGAAATGGTGTCACCCATCCTTGGCAAATCTGGACAGCAATCAGGAAAATGGTAGGGAGTGCAGGGACAGGAAATGTGAAATGTCATCAAATGAACCCAGGAAGCTGCTCAGCCCGATAAATCAGAGAGAGCTGGATGCAGAGGTGGCAGCTACTGGCATACAGATGGGACTGAAAGGTGTGGAGCAGGCAGAGGTCACCTTGAGGGAACACAAAGGCTTGTGACAGGGCAAGGACACAACACATGTTTAAAATGAGCAAAAGAGAAGGTAGCTACTGAAAGCCAATAGCCAGGAGAAGGTAGATGGTAGAAGCCTCCATAAAGGGGCTTTGAAAGAAGTGATGAGTCAATCATTTTTAAAGGCAGTGAGGTGATCAAGTAACCTAAAAATAGAGACACAATCAACAGAGGTGTCTCCATAACCAAATACTCTGGGCTGAGGAGAGAAGCAGGGAGTCCAAGTGTATGTGTTGCCGTAGGGGGCAAGCATAAGCATCCCTTCTAGGAAGTGCTGATGTGCCTGCCAATAGGGTGGCACACTCCTTTAATTCCAGCATTCAGAGGCAGAGGAGGGCTATGAGTTCACAGCCAGCCTTGTCTACAGAGTTCTAGGCCAGACATTCTTATATACTGAGATGACACCTTTTGTTAAAAAAAAAAATAAAAAATAAAAACAAAAAACTGATATAATGAAGAGCAGAGTGGGGAAGTAGCTATAAATGTACAATGTACAGAGTTGGTGGGGGTCTATCTAATGTGAAGAAGTCCTAGACTATGTCTACATACTGATGGAAGGAGATGCTGAACTCAGAGAGGCACCTGCAAAATACAAGTCTGAGACAAGGTGGTGGGTATAGGTTACAGGAAAACTCTGAATATTTAACCCAAGGAGAGTTGCTTAAACATGGAGCAGTAGAGAAGGGGAGTCAACCGGAGACAACAAAAGAACCACGGATGACCAATAGGCACCTTCCCACACTAGCCAGCAAGATGGCTCATTACATAAAGGTACCTGCCATCAAACCTGATGACTTACCTTCTCTTCCCTAGACAACAGGATATTCCTGTAAATTGTCCTCCAACCTCCACATATCCCTAGAGGTATGTTCACAAGGTAAGTGAACCTGCCCACACCCACACACACACACACACACACACACACACACACGAAAAAAAAAAGCAGGCTACCCCTAAATTGTAGATGACTTGAGACAAAGTCTTACTGTGTAGCCCCATCTAGACTTGAATTCATAACCATCCTGCTGAAGTTTAACCATTTTAGAGGAATATAGCCAGCTTTTGGTCCTTACAGTATTTATTTATGTATTATTGTTTCTCTAGAACATCTTGAGGGACAAGTCAATCACAAAGTAAAACTGAATAAACACTGATTAAAGAAAAGATAAAGAAAAAAAGTTAATTTCAGTATCTAATAAATATGTTTCAATTCAGCACAAACAAACAAAAAGTTAGCCCTGGGGAACACACCTTTAATCACAGCACTCAGAAGGAGAAAAACATAGGCTGATCTTTGACTTCAAGCCCAAGGTGATTTACATAGCAAGTTCAGAGCTAGCCAGGGCAGCTCAAAAAAAAAAAAAAAAAAAAAAAAAAAAACAGAAAGAAAGAAAGAAAGAGAGAGAGAGAGAGAAAAGTCAGGTTTTGGTAGAGCATGCCTTTAATTCCAGCACTCAGGAGGCAGGCCGATCTCTGTGAGTTCGAGGTCAGCCTGGTCTACAGAGTTAGTTCCAGGACACACTAAAGCTACAGAGAAACCTGTCTGGAAAAACAAACAAACAATAAAACAACAACAAAAAAAGGGCGACTAGACTTTCATATATAAATATTATATTTGCATAAATAGACTATATTCAATCACTTTCAATAAATGTTGGGAGAATAGTTCTCCCACAAGAAAACTTTACTAATACATAATGAACCCATGTGTTTTGCCACATCTCATGCTTCATTCAGCTCATGTGGCAACCTTTCCCTAATGTGAATTACAAAACCGATGTAGAGAGCCACCAGTGCCACTCCCGAAGATGGCGCCGGTTTCCTGTCCATGAGCCAGCAAGCCTCGGTTGTTTTTCCACCCGAAGGTTGACAATGCACATGTGTGATCCTCGTCATGGGGTGACCGTCACGAGCTTTGCGGGCTGCACCTATCAGTTTAGGACACGACTCCCTAAAGCATATGTAAGCAGTGCCTTTTTCCTCCTTTGGGGTCTTCCCTCAACTTGCTGTGATGAGCCATGCAATAAACATAGCTGCAGAAGAATCCTGTTGTTGAGCATCGTTCTTGCAGGCAAGGCGATAGCGCTCGACAAGTGGGGCCGAACCTGGGAACCTGACATCAACAGCACATGGGGGACCCTTCAGGAGACTGGAGAGGATTCAGAACTGTGGCACAAAGGTAACAAATAAGGTGAGTTCTGATAGTCATGCTACTGTTTGGGCTTGATCCTGCCATTGAAGGGTTGATTATTGTGCGTTTGGTTGCCTGCTTGTTTTTACTGTGTTTGTTTTGTTTTGAGGAAGCACATGATGGGCAGCTAAAAGCAGGCACTAGGCCATTATCAGATTTTCAAGAAAGCATGTCAGAAGCAGAACATGAAGAAAAGATGGGTGCACGTAAAAAGAAAAAACATAATAAAGAGAGAGTGAAAGGGCCCCGCGAGACGGATCCATCTCGCGGAGGAAAGAAAAAAACATCTTTATCCTTTAGAGGAATTGGAGGCTTTAGAGCTTTCCAGTCACCCCTCGGAAGAGGAACTATCGCCCTCTGAGGAGGAAGATTTGGAGGAGGAGGCTACACGATACGAACAGATATGGGCCAGGTCCGAGTCTAGTAAGAGCGAAATCAAGAGCAGAGCCCATTAGTCCCTACTGCGCCTCCTCCTTATGCAGAGAAGGAATGTAAATACTCCTTTTGCTCACCTGAAACCAGACATGAGATAACCCGGATGTTTCCTGTGTTCGAGGAAGATGGGAATCGTGCCCATCACCCTCTTGAGCATAAACAGGTTAAAGAATTGGTAGAGTCTGTTCCCACTTATGTAACGAGTACAGTTTTTTCCGCCTGCTGCCCGGTCTTGTCCCGCCACCAAGCCAGCCCCAAATAATACACAGAGACTCTGTATTTGATACAATGCTGTTGGCCCGGTTACTTGTTTCTTATCTGCTAGCTCTGCCTTAATTATTAACCCATTTCTGCTGATCTATGTATTTCTCTTACCGGGGAGCCGGCGGCATACTGCTTTCTTCAGACTCTCCATCTTGACCCCTCCTTACTACTTCCTATTTCCTCCTTGTCTCCTAGTCCCTCCTATCTTCCTTTCCTATTGGCCAACAGTGCTTTATTATTAACCAGTATGAGAAACATATACAGAATGACATCTCCCATCATCTCCTCTTTTCTGTCTAAAATAACATGAAGGGTTTTAACATTAACATAGCAAAATATATCACATAACAGTTGTCAAATAAGAATCAAAGTTAACACTATTT